CATTTAATTATAAAACATGATTTATTTTGTGCTAATCTGAATCAGTTTAGTGTATTTTGTAAATATTTTAACAGTTTTGTAGGAATGAACACATTATGTTTTTCAAAATAAGTAAAAAGTAAGTAAATTTTTATTTATACAGTACACTGTAGTGCCTTTCACAGAAATAAATTCACAAGGTGCTGTACAAACAGTTAAGAACACCCATTCAAGGAGACACACATGACAAACATGGAACAGGTGAACAGGTCATGCAGCAACAGAGACAGATGGATACTTTAACATCTTGCTAGAAATACACAAGAGGAAAGTTGAGTTAAAAAAATTGCTCTGATCCTATGTGTACCTCAGAAACTCAGGGTCATGTGCACAAAAAAATGACTCGCGAGAGAGCAGATTGCATGAGCGAGGGGGGTCTTAGGTCAGATAACACAGCGGGGAGGTAAGATGGGGCGGGATCAGAGGAGTAGGTGACGTTAAGGGAGGTGGGGGTCCATGCTAGGACCCAACCCTGGCCACCTCCAGAGTCACATGATGTTATCGTCTGCTGCTCGTTTAGCCAGAGTTCAGGGTTTCTCTGCCTCGGCCTTGGGTTCTGGAGCCCGGACCAGCACAGGTGATGGGGGTGGGAGGGGATCAAACCTTTGTTGATATTCCATCCCGGGGAGTTTCAGATAACGTGCCCATCAAGGCCGTTTCGCTCGGAGCCAATAGATAATTTAATTTGTTTTGGAACAAAGCAGCCTTGAAATTTTCTGCTGCTTTTAAATGTCTTAACTGCATCGCCGAAGTGACGAAAAAAAGAAAAGAAAAATAAACCTGCTTCTTATTACTTCTGTAACATGTTTAAAAGAAAATGTCATCAGTAAAAGGCCTCAAATTAAGTCCTGTTTCTACAAATTGTCTTTGTAACACTTCAGAAGAACTCTTAACTCTTGTAAATATAAAAGACAACAGTTAAAAAAATGCAACTATCCAAAAAAAACTTCCTTTCAATCAGTGAAAATAATTTATTTACCACATTTAAAATCTGGTCCCTAGACCGTCTGTGCTGCAGCTGGATGGTGACTGACACACACACACACACACACACACACACACACACACACACACACACACACACACACACACACACACACACAGGGGAGCGTGCACAACTTGTAGGTTAACAGCAGCTGGATTTATGGTGTCTTGAGTTCACAAAAAACCTCTGGTTACTTTTTTACAAGTTACATTACATTAGCTTGTAGCTGCGCTGCTGATCAGCGCTATTTTTAGAACAGGCACGGAGCTGCTGACTCCCGGTCACACATGGGGTTTGTGTTGTTGATTCTTGCTGTATCAGAGTAATTAAAGGTAAACAGCTTCACCTGTCGTGTCTTCCTTGAAAGAAAAAAAAAGTTGCTTGCAAATCTGTCMCATCAGACAGTTTTCATTGAGTGTCACATCACATACACGCCTTGCTATCTTTGTGAGGACTACAGACACACAGCACCTCGCTGCGCACAAGAACCTGCAGTGTTGGTTTTTCAAAATAAAGTATTTTTAATTGTTTAAATAGGGTTTCAAAGTCTGATTATGGTTAGTATAAGAGCGCAAATATAGGACATAAATATATATGAAATGCTTTACATTGTTTTAACCTAATATAGGCCTATTATAAAAAAAAAAAAAGAAAAAAATGTATTCTGAAAGTATGGCGGCTATGACTTTTGCCGTGGCGGTGTGCCACGATCAATTACATGTAGGGGAAACCCTGGAGTGGGAAGAAAAATAATTGCTGTTTTTGATTTTGCTCAGTTGCCTTCAGCTTTTTGTCCCTTTTTCATTTTGTCATACTTCCTTCTGG